TTCCTATCAAGTTATTCCTTTTACTTCTGTCTGGATTAAGTGTCTAAATTAATAGAAAATGAATGCTCATCCAATTTAACTGAGCAATTCGCTTGAAATTGTTATTAAATAAGAGGCAGTGAAATGTGCAAATATATACAAAAATTAGAGGTATTATTGGGAAAACAGCAGTGGATACTGTTGACCGAATACTAACGCAGCTCCAGGTATCATTTCAAATTATTTATACTCATTTTCCCACTGGCCCCGATTTTCTGAACCATTCCTTTTTTAAAATTGATTTTAGAGAGATAGAAAAGGAGAAACACTGATGTGAGAGAGAAACATTGATCGGTTGCCTCCTGCATGCGACCAGGATCAAACCCGAAACCTTGGTATATGCCCTGACCTGGAATTGAACATGCGACCTTTTGGTGCACGGGACAACCCTCCAACCAGCTGAGCAACCTGGCCAGGGCCATATTAATCTTTGAAGCTGCTTTAAATCATTTTGTAACAAGATGAGCTATAAATAAATTAATTAAAATAATGGATTATGTACACTGTGGTCAGCCTTACATAATAATAGGAAACTATTAGCTACCCTTCTTGTGGTACATGGATGCACATTTTTTAACTATGTCTTTTTATTCATTTGTAAATAGTATCTCCAAGCCAAAATGGTATCCTGGGTCTTTTAGAAAGAAATTATACCAGAAACACCAATCAGAAAGGATATATGCACCCATATGTTCATAGCAGCACAATTCACCATAGCTAAGATCTGGAAACAGCCTAAATGCCCATCAGTAGATGAATGGATTAGAAAACTTTGGTACATCTACACGATGGAATACTATGCTGCTGTAAGAAAGAAGGAACTCTTACAATTTGCAATGGCATGGATGGAGCTGGAGAGCATTATGCTAAGTGAAATAAGCCAGTCAATGAAGGAAAAATACCACATGATCTCACTCATTCATGGATAATAAAGACCATTATAAACTTTTGAACAATAATAGATACAGAGGCAGAGCTGCCTCACACAGAGTGTCAAACTGCAGCGGGAAGGCCAGGGAGGGTTGGGGGGCAGGAGGGAGGGGGGTAAGAGATCAACCGAAGGACTTGTATGCATGCATATGAGCATAACCAATGGACATAAGACACTGGGGGGTAGGGGAAGCCGGGGTACTGTCAAGGGCGGGGAAAAAAAGGACACATATGTAATACCCTTTGTAATGCTTTAAGCAATAAAAAAAAATTAAAAAAAAAAGAAATTATAGATAGACTTATAGCACAAACCCTTCCTATTTGCATTAATTACCAAGTAAAAGTCACATATAATACATAAAACAAATCTCAACAATTACAATTGGTTTGCAATCAGGCCTAGTTGAATGAGTGAAAATTTTGAATTACAGGGTAGTTTAACAAAATTTATGGAAAGTTATTTTTTTAATATATTTTATTGATTTTTTTATAGAGAGGAAGGGAGAAAGATAGTTAGAAACATCGATGAGAGAGAAACATTGATCAGCTGCCTCCTGCACACCTCCAACTGGGGATGTGCCCACAACCAAGGTACATGCCCTTGACCGGAATCGAACCTGGGACTCTTGAGTCCGCAGGCCGACGCTCTATCCACTGAGCCAAACCAGTCAGGGCGAAAGTTATTTTTTAAATAATGATACTTCCTGTTAGCTATTCTAATTATGTAGCCAAGTTAATTTACTATTAGACCCACCATATACTCTGAAAGAATAAATATTGTGATACCACTATTGAGAAGGACATGCATGCTAGTTGCTTATTTTTTGGTAGGAATGCATCGGTGCTTGGAGCAAAAAAATTTACTACCTAGTCTAAGCATAGAAATTTTAAAATTAAACTAACTGGATGAAAACACACATATATTTAATAATTTGCTCATGTAATTTTGGGCCTCTATGATTTTTTGCTTTGCTATTCATTTTTTTAAAAAACTGAGTACTCTCTCTTCTCATTTTCCCTTTCTTCTCATTTTAGGTATTACCTCTTGGAAAAATTGATATGAGCATGCTTATCTGTTGGTCATGTTATTTGAAAAATTTACAGCAAAAATTCAGTCCTTTTATTTGTTTAATTTATTCAATGAAGTAAGAGAATAGAATCTCTCAGCCTTGACCTAAAAGTCCTGTCCCTTTCCTTATTTCATTCTTATTCCCAGGCCATTGCATGTGGTCACAGAACTTTAAATGTCATCTGTGTGTGTCCCCCAAATTTCTATGTCCAGCCCAACCCTCCCCCCGGAACCCCATGTCTTTATTCCCAATTGCCTACTAGATCTTTCCTTCATTCAGATGCCTCACTGGCCTCACCCTTATCGTATCAAAGCCACACTCCTGATCTTGACCTGGCCTCTTCCTCCTACACTTCTCTAGACCAGTCAATGGCAACTCCATCCTTCCGGGTTCCTATGCCCAAAATGTTGACGTCATTCTTTCTTCTTTTCCTTCTCCTACTCCTTCTCTCTTTTTCTCTCTCCACCCACAAATTAGCTAATGCCATCATCTCTGTCTGTACTTATCTCCAAGACCCAAATCGTTCTCATCAGCTCACCATTCTGGTGCAACACTCCACATCTTTCTAGATGTATCAACAGTCCCTATCTGCACTTCCTGCTTCACTCTGGCTTTCCTGCAATCTATTATCAACTCAGCAGCCAGAATGATGACAATTCATGTTAGTCCTCTGCCCGAAACCTCCAGTGGTTCTCCACCCACTTAGATTGAGAACAGAAATCCTTATCAGACCCGTAAACTCCACAACATCTGGCCTGGCTACCTGAGCCACTTCCTATCGCTAGCCTCCTTCCCCTCACTCTCTTCCAACCTCACTAGCCTCCCTGCTGCTCCTGATTCCAGATCTTGCTGATTTTTTCTTCCTTCTGCTTGGAATGATTTTCTGCCGTTGCTTCATCAACTTCAGTTCTCTGCTAAAAGTCAGGTTCTCTGTGGCCTGACTATGCTATTTAAATTGCACTCCCCTCCCTAGAATTCGCCATCTGCCTTTCTTAGCTTTGCTTTTCTCCATGGGGTCCGTGCCCTGCTTTGTTTGTTTAATGTCAGGCTCCTCATATTCATTGTCAGCTTCTAAGAGACGAAGATTCTTGTCTGCTTGATTTGTATCTGAATCCCAGGTGCCAGTGCTGGGTGGTCAGTGAACACTCACTGAATATTTATGTATTGAATTAAAGGAAGCAGGTGGGGAAAGGACAGTGAGAACATTGTCTAGGTTACACTTCACCTTGAGCCCTTGAGCGTAGGCTTGGGGAACAGTTGGTTCTCCAGAGGGAACTTAGGGTATAACTGTTGTAAGAAGAGGGAAATGGGGGCTGGAAACAGATGACCACTCCAGGGAGACAATGCGGGCTTGAACTTGAGTCATTGCAGTTGGAATGGAAGACAGAGGAAGGAAGTAACGGGCATCATGGAGATGAGATCTCCTGACTCTGAGCAGGGAGGGGAAAGGACAGAGAAGCTTGAATGCGACCCAGATGTTGCATTTGTGAGACGAGGGTTTGGCAATGGCATTAATAATGATTCAGGATAAAGTAGGAGGAACAGATTTATGAAAGAAAGAAGCTGTTTTGTTGCTTTCTCATCCCTGTTTTCATTAATAAAATTGTTTCCAGCTTCTCAAAACTCAAGAAGAATTGAGTTCTGCAAGAGGCAGGAGGCAAATTCTCCCACCAACCACTTATTCTCTGAAGACTTGACCCCACAGTTCTTAAGAGTCTTATCTCTAAGCCCACATCTGAGAGAATCAGACTGAACATTTTTCTCTCAATAGTTTGAATTTCCTTTGGTTGAGCTACCAGCATCTACAGCATAGAAACCCATTAGAGCTGAGTTCAGTCTTTTCTTTTTAAAAAATATTTTTATTGATTTCAGAGAGGAAGGGAGAGGGAGAGAGAGATAGAAACATCAATGATGAGAGAGAATCATGGATCGGCTGCCTCCTGCACGCCCCACACTGGGGATCGAGCCCGCAACCCCGGCATGTGCCCTGACCGGGAATCGAACCGACCTCCTGGTTCATAGGTCGATGCTCAACCACTGAGCCACGCCAGCTGGGCCAGTCTTTTCTTGTAGAACATTTCCATGTGAGTGATTTGGGATCATAAGGCCATTTTCTAATGCACTGTAGGTTAGGCTTGGAAAAACATGGGGCATTCATCTCGAACTCTAGCGAAGGCCTTGTCAGATAATGAAGCAAGAAATGTAGCTGTTAATGGGCCAGGATGCAAGAAAGGCGTGAAGACAGGCACTGAATAATAAAATGGCATGTGCAGATGTAGTAGTCTGCATTTTTTCAGTGTTTACTATCTGCCAGGTACCGTTCGAAGTCCTCAACATATAAGAAGTCATTTAATCTCCACAGCAACTGTTTGTGGTACATGCTATTAGTATCCCCATTTTACAGGCGAGGAAACAGAAATGTAGGAAGGTTATGTACCTGGCCAAAGGTCCCACAATTAGTAAGTGGAACTAGGGCTCAAACACAAGCAGTCTGGCTCAAGGACCTGTCTTCTTAATAAACTGATTACATGTTCCAGAACTGCCCAAGACAGTTGTCATTTATGCCTGTTGTCTGGGCATAAATATGAATATGAATCCTAGAAAGTGTCCCCACTTGGACAATAAATTACGAACACCATGTCTCTGAACTACAGTCTTTTTCTGATTCAAAGCCAAGAAAAATCTAGTCTGAACAACAGAGGTAGCCAAGTGATCAGACTGTCTCTCCAGGCATCAGTGAAGTGACAATTTGGACTCAATATGACTATTTGGTAATCATCCAGTTTGCCCTAAGAATTCAACTAGCGGTCAGGGTTGGCGTCGACTTGGTTTTAACCAACCAGTCATTCTGTTCTCTTACACTCTTAAGGCTCTGTGTTCTGCCCTAATGGAGCTGCCAGCGGCATGGCTGGCCTCTTTCTGGAATGGTTTTATTGATGCCTCAACATTTGGCCCCTCCAGGTTCCCCCGGATCTGCAGAACGAGGTGCTGGTCAGCCTGCTGCAGACCGACCCGGACGTGGTGGACTATTTGCTCAGAAGGAAGGCCTCCCAATCCTCGTGAGTATGCCAGTTCCTCCAGCCGCTTGGCGATTTCTCCTTCCGTTTCGGAAGAGTTAGAAAAGGTTACATAGCCCTGACCGGTTTGGCTCAGTGGATAGAGCGTCGGCCTGTGGACTGAAAGGTCCCAGGTTCGATTCCGGTCAAGGGCATGTACCTGGGTTGCGGGCACATCCCCAGTAGGGGGTGTGCAGGAGGCAGCTGATCGATGTTTCTCTCTCATGGATGTTTCTAACTCTCTATCCCTCTCCCTTCCTCTCTGTAAAAAAATCAAGAAAATATATTTTTTAAAAAAACAAAAGTTTACATAACTATGCAGGGTGATTTGAAGTGGCATTTTGGCAACTGGCACAGCTGATCAGCCCACCTCACTAGAAACTGCTTCAGCCTCGCCGATCCACTTATTGCATTAGGAACTGCCTGACAGGATTTTTTTCATTTTCATGTTTGGCTTTTTCTAGTCCCTTGACGTCCTTTGGACTGTGTTTAACAGCAAAAAAAAAAGCACCAAGTCCCTGGCAAGAAGCTCCAGGGGCTGACTAGGAGGCACATTAGTGATTCCTTGCAGAATTCTGATAACTGTTCTTAGGGACCCATACGGCTGAGCCTGCATGCGTCTGACGTGTAATTTACCAGCACGAGTGACGCATCACCAAACCGCCAGACAGGCCTCAGCCAGGCCCAGGTGCCATTTGAAATTACGGTAGGCACCGTCTTGACTCCCCCACCCTCTCTAGCTGGCATCCTTTGGATGAAAATACACGCTGGTCTCCATGTGCACTGTAGTTGCAATGAGTCAAATGCAAGCCGTGCTGTGGGCTGCGTTGCCACCATTTTTGCCCCAAACCAGGAGCACTGGAATTTTACATTAGTCAGATCTTCTGATTCATTGAAACCATTGGCTACAGAGGCAGAGGATATGGGGGTATTGAGCACTTGTCAAATCCAGTTAAGGAGTAATATGGCATCCATTACCAGGAGCGATGTTGCCACCATGACCCCCAGCCTTACATTTGTGACAGAAGAAGTTGTTGCCCTAGCCCAGTGGTTGGCAAACTGCGGCTCGAGAGCCACATGCGGCCCTTTGGCCCCTTGAGTGTGGCTCTTCCACAAAATACCACATGCGGGCGCGCACGTACAGTGCGATTGAAACTTCGTGGCCCATGCGCAGAAGTCGGTATTTTGTGGAAGAGCCACACTCAAGGGGCCAAAGAGCCGCATGTGGCTCGCGAGCCGCAGTTTGCCGACCACTGCCCTAGCCGGTTTGGCTCAGTGGATAGAGCATCAACCTGCGGACCAAAGGGTCCCGGGTTTGATTCTGGTCAAGGGCACGTACCTCGGTTGCAGGCTCTTCCCCAGTCTGGGGCCTGGTCAGGGCTCATGCAGGAGGCAACCAACCGATATGTTTCTCTCACATCAATGTTTCTCTGTGGCTTTCCCTCCTTTCCACTCACTCTAAAAAATCAATGGAAAAATATCCTCGGATGAGGAATAACAAAAAAGAAAAAGTTGTTAATCTCTCATGAAAGTATCATTTATGTTGTGCTTTTAGTCTACGAAATTTCAACAATTCTATAACACATTTTCCCCAATGTTTTATCATCTCTGAGGTTGAGATTCACCCTGTAATCAATGGCATGTCCTAATTTAATTCATAGCATTTTTTCTTTCTTAAATGTATATAAAATAATGGTATATCGCTGTGGTCAGCAAACTGCGGCTCGCGAGCCACATGCGGCTCTTTGGCCCCTTGAATGTGGCTCTTCCTAAGCCTTAGGAGTACCCTAATGAAGTGAATAACAATGTACCTACCTATATAGTTTCAGTTTAAAAAATTTGGCTCTCCAAAGAAATTTCAGTCATTGTACTGTTGATATTTGGCTCTGTTGACTAATGAGTTTGCCGACCACTGGTATATCCTATTCAATGATATCTTAGAAACATCAACACATGTGAAATGGTCCCTTTATGCTGACGCCAAATTTGATGTGTTAATTTTCCTTTAAAACTATTTCATATACAAAAATATTATATTCTTGAGAGAAATTTGGTGAAAAGGAATTCTGGGCTGCTCAGGCCTCCTTCGTTCCTGGGTCATCACACTAATAGCTCTGCTAAATCCAGCTGCCTCGCTCCTGCAGCGCCGGGAGCAGTTTTAATTGGCTCACCCTTTCAAGTGCACTTTTGAAAAGCCGTCTCTATGCTGATCATTATCGGGCCTGTGGTAGAAGGAAGATATTCTGCCCAATTCAAGGCCCAAGAGGTGCGAGTGAGTAAAAGTGCCCTCCAATTACACAAATTGGCTGGCATTTCACGGTCTTGCTTTTCACATCAGAGAATTAGGTTCACTTCAAAATTTCCTAGAATTGGAACTGTCATCCAGGTAGAAGTTCTCATTTGAAAGATCACATGGCTTTTCTTCACAGTGTAACTCGCATCACCGGAATTTTAATGAACTCGCTTGCTTCCCTTCTCTGCGCAAGAGAACATATCAGAGGGCGCTTCTACTTGCGAGTCGCTCATTAAGCTGCATTTGTAACATTTCGTGGCTACTCTGCGGGGGCAGCTAGAAAACACACCTAAAACAACCACTGGTTTTGACTTGCCAATTTTCTGTTGTTATATGGCATTAGACTTTGAAGGATGGTTGATAAATAGTTATTTTTATGTGTTTTTCAAGTATGTTCTTTGCATAGAAATGCCAGGAAATGAACCTTTTATTCTTTACTCTAGTGTCTTCTTTTCGCTATCCCTGTGAAAATGAGAATTGTAAAGTCGAGGCAGGCTGACCCTAGAGCAGCGGTTCTCAACCTGTGGGTCGTGACCCCTTTGGGGGTCGAATGACCCTTTCACAGGGGTCGCCTAACACCATCGGAAAACACATATATAATTTCATATTGTCTTTGTGATTAATCACTATGCTTTCATGATGTTCAGTTTGTAACAATGAAATTGGGGGTCACCACAACATGAGGAAATGTATGAAAGGGTCTCGGCCTTAGGAAGGTTGAGAACCGCTGGTCTAGAGCAAGATCTTAGGTGAGTGTCGGGCTTCCAGGGAAAAGGGGAGCTCGCGGAGCTCTGTGGTTGGCAGAGGCTGGCATTACCCAACAGGAAACATGGAGAAGACTTAGTAAGGAGGAGAAGAGAGTGTTTTTCTCTTCAACGTACAGACCAAGACACAGCCCAGAAAGTCGATAATGATGGCATAAAGGGAAAATACATGAATTAATAAATAGACATTTCTATTTAATGGCCTTTTGAGGCTTGAGAATCATATCCCTCAAGCTGTAGGGAGTCTGTTCCTGCCTTAAATGCGAGCTTCTCAGACTTTCCTGCGCGCACAGGTCAGCAGGGATCTTGTTAAAATGCTCTTTCTGAACCGGTAGGTGTGGGGGAGGGAATCTGAGAATCCGGTTTCTCTCAAGCTCCCAGATGATGCTGTGATCCACACTTTGAGCAGCGAAAGCTGCAAACATCAAGATGTGTTCTGGACTTCAGGAGCTCACAGACTTGTAAAGGCTGTCCCAAAATTCACGCAAGATTTGAATTTTGCGTGAGCATTAACAACAACAACAAAAAATAAATAAAAGCCTAATTTTACTTGGTTTATTGAATCAGATTCTAGTATCTGTTGCCCTTTGATGTCAATCCCTTCAATTTGATAAGCATTACCAAGTACCAATGATGGCCCAGGAGCAGGGACAATGAAGACCAATGAAGACCACGGCTTTGCGTCTGTGCCAGCAAAGCCATGGAGGCCATTGACCCGCTGTGCTATTCCATACATAACCCTATACTGTATACTTTATGAATCAATTTAAAAATTTACAATTTTTAATTATAAACCTGTATTTTCTATCAAAATTACTTCTTGCGTGAATTTTGGGACACCCTTTAGAAGGAGGCCGACAAGGGTCAAAATAATAGGAGGTGTGTGATTAAAGATGGCATGGAGTACAAAACGAGATGTGCTGGGCCATCAGGGCTCAGACTTGCCTGCCCAATCGGAACCGCCCGGGAGCTTGAAGAAGAAGTCCACCCGGCACCACCCCTAGAGATTCTGACTCGTTTGTTCTGGAGAGAAGTGTGGACATTGGGATTTTAAAAAACTCCCCAGGTGGTTCTATTGAGCAGCCAGGGGTGCGAATCTCTGGCTTAGATCCACCGCAATAGACACGACATAGTTCCTGTCACAGGGGGTGAATTTTGACATTGAAAAGGGGTCTTTGTGTTGACAAAGGAGGGGAACCAATACTCCACATCATAAATCCATGATAATGGTAGACCACAGTGGTAACGAATGATAGTAACCCAGCTGCCAGATGGTGCTGGCTACCTTGGTATGTCCATTATCCATCAATAGCACAGCCCTGAATGGAATAACATGCTGCTGACAAGCTTTGGATGCAGAGCCAGGTGGCCTGAGTTCAAGTCTTTGTTCCACTGCTATTAGCTGTGTGGTCTTAGATGAATAAATTCATCTCTCTCTCTTTCTCAGTTTCCTCATCTGTAAACTACAGATAAAAACTTTATAGAGTTGTGCTATTAGAATAGTATATGTTTTTATTTTTTTTTTGGTTTAAATATATTTCTTTATTGATTTCAGAGAGGAAGGGAGAGGGAGAGAGAGATAGAAACATCAATGATGAGAGAGTCATTGATCAACTGCCTCCTGCATGTCCCCTACAGGGGATCGAGCCCACAACCCAGGCATGTGCCCTTGACTGGAATCAAACCCGGGACCTTTCAGTCCACAGGCTGACGCTCTATCCACTGAGCCAAACTGGCTAGGGCAGTATATGTTTTTAAATAAATGCTACTGATTACTATCATGTCACTTCAAGTTTCACCATTTTCTTCATGTACAACTACTTACCAAAGACGTGGGCATCACTAGATTTTACCTTGCTACCCAGCAGATAGCAACCTATGAAGGCAATATGGCATAAGAGAGACTCCATCCACGTTAAGTTGTGTGCAGTGTCTAAAGACAGCCC